TTCAGGGGACAGTGATATCAATATTTTGTCAAAGAATAACATTATTTTTAGATCTCGTAATTCTAAATATACACCTTTACACCCACGTGCAAATAAATTTGTCTTTTTATCTGATAAATACACAAGAATAGATATTATCTCCGTTGTTTTGTCAGAGTAAGCACGACTATGATAGACGCGACATACATTTGTCTCAGTACTTTACAAACGGATATAGGGAAAAAATTCGAGGTTTTGTTCGCCATGTTGGAGTTAGTGAGTGAGTTTAGTTTTACGCCTCACTCAGCAATATTCCAGCTATATGGCTGCGGTTTGTAAAATAATCGAGTCTGGACCAGACAATCCAGTGATCAATAGCATGAGCATCGATCTACGCAATTGGGATACGATGACATGTGTCAACCAAGTCAGCGAGTCCCGTTAATCGCCCTTACAACAAGCATAGGTTACTGAAGACCAATTCTAACCCGGATCTTCACGGGTTGAAGCAATGTGTGAATCGTACTTTTGGTGTCGGAATATTGCTTCCAGCGGCGTACAATCATATTCACCCAGGTCAAAGATATAAACTCTATAACTCAATGATAGATTATTCTCAGGACCAGACAGCCCCGTGATTGATGTTATGAGCCAGCTGCCGGGGCACTAGGCATAAAGTGACAAAGTCTTATATATATATCAACATTCATCTATCACTACCCAATCACTTTACATAAGTAAAAACTCAGCAACAGTAATGTGCCTCGATACTCGAGCACGGCTGTCAATAACGTTTAGAAAATAGTTACTTCCATCAGACCAATCACCATCAGACCAATCAACCCTAAGCCATGTCCTCAAGTTGCGATATTTTGCCTGTGTATGTAAGACAGGAAGGGGCGTCTGATCGGACGACCACCACTTCACCCACCTTCTGATGTACTGGTTGAGAGTCACGCGTTTTCTCACAGATAGACTTGTGGTTAATGGGGTCGGTGGTGTAGTCCAATGGTTAAAGCGTTCGCTCGTACCGCCGTAGACCCGGGTTCGATTCTCCACATGAGTACAAAGTGTGAAGCCCATTCCTGGTGTCCCCCGCCGTGATATTGCTTGAATATTGCTATAAGAGGAGTAAAGCCATTCTCAATCACTCACTCCAGACCTAGCGGCCAACACCAGCAGGAGCCGATATATTTGCTTCAGTATGCCGTTGTTGAGGATCCTTGGTAATTCCTAGACGAGTCCATCGAAGATCACCTGTCAGCTTAGGATCTCAGCTAAGGCCTATTTTTGTAAGCTTGGCAACTGCAGACACGTCAATAATACCATCACTACCTTTATAACATATTGGCATTGAACTGCTCGCTCACTCAACGTCTTGCCTTGTTAAAGGTCACATGCAACCAAAGAAACAAACATAATTAAAACACAATTATCACTTATTCATGACATATAATATACATTTCTGATTATGAAAAAAACAAATAAACAAACTTTTAAGCGTACAATCGCAAATCAAAAGTGCAATATTTTGTACTTGGGTTTACTTCCCTCGAAACGAACCACTCGGGATACCGAACCCAGTCAGAGCGGGTGGGCGTGCCCTTAAGTGCAGCGAAGGCTTTCATTGGCTGGTTCATTTGCCGATACACTTTTTGTGTGCGTATAGAGATGTTGGGTTTTGTAAATACATGCTCAGTTTTTGTGTATAACAGTTCGCAATCAACAGACACCATAACTTGTCATGTGTACAAGTATCACACCTGCCTGCCTGTGTAATTACATATTGTGACAGAGACAGAACTCGGGTGCACGAGCCATAAATCAATGCGTTTTGTTAATGATGTATGCAAATTGCATGTTGTCAGTGATCGAAGTTGTGTATTGCATATTGTCATTAGCAGACAGGCAGGCAGACACATAAATGAAAATAAAACAGGCATTCAGTTTTGTCTGTGACAGAGGCCGGGCTTCCAAGCTGCGAGAACTTATTCACTGCGCATGCGCTATGAGCACAGTACAGCGCAGCGCAGCACAGCTGTTAAAACCACTTTTCACCCCAGCTGGGGTGAATTTAGTGAATCGTTTGAACTCCGATTTCGAGGGGGCTTTTTCATCGCGTTATTTTTCAACTTTATAAGATGAATTTGTATTTTTGATCATTTCTTACTGTAAGTCCATTCCGAAAGGTGCAAAGTTGTGTTTTACGTAGCATGCGACCTTTAGGAAAAGTACTGTTTTTGTACTGTCGTCATTTATATCAGTTCAGAAAACGACAATGCACATACTGCTAGTATATAAAACTTATACCCATATGTGTCTGCCGCTTTCACGGCATGTTGGGCGGTAGGGTAGCCTAGTGGTTAAAGAGTCCGCCGAAGACCCGGGTTCGATTCTCCACACGGATACAATGTGTGAAGCCCATTTCTGGTGTCCTTCACCGTGATATTGCTGGAATATTGCTAAAAGCGGCGTAAAACCATACTCACTCACTTTCACAGCATGTGAACATGCAACCCAAAGCTATTGAGATATTGCGTGAAGCAGGTGCTTAACCTGTGCATTCCAATATGCTAGGGTTTGATGGTATGTTTGGACCACAGTATCAAATACTGCTCTTGGATTCAGGTGATGCTTGGGGTGGTGGGGTAGCCTAGTGGTTGAAGCGTTGGTTCGTCACGCCGAAGACCCGGGTTCGAATCCCCACATGGGTACAATGTGTGAAGCCCATTTCTGGTGTCCCTCGCCGTGATGTTGCTGGAATATTGCTAAAAGCGGCGTAAAACCAAACTCAGTCAGTCAGTCAGTCAGATGATGCTTATTTAATACTCATGCATATATTTTACTTTCACAGCGGAAGAGCAAAAGCAGCTACATAGATGATATCTTATACTGAACTGAATACACTTGAGAATGTTTGAAAATCAGGACGATATGTTTGCCGTAATGTTTATTAGCATTCGTGAAATCCCGGAACGAGCCGCACGGCGACTCGGATCCACTCGTGACCTCTCGACTTATTGCGTTAAACCAAATAGCTTCTTGTGCACCCTGATGCGTGAATGGAGACGAGTTAGTCTGCAGGTGCGGCTTGCTCAGGAAAGGTCAAAATCCTTAAATAAAATCTTATCTGATGTCATGGCTCAACATGCTAGGGAAGCCTAGTTCAAAGTAGTTCTAGAAATAGAACGCCATATCTCATCATGTGACCATGATAGTCATCTGAAATCTGGGTTAAAATCGAGGAGACACAATTGTTTGTTATGCAAGGGAATACACACCTCATAGTAGGGCGAGATGGTTATATGACTGTTCTTTTTTGTGGTATACTCCCCAGGAAGCTGAGAATGAAGATCGAGTGAACTCTAATCCATTGCCCATTGCTTTTAGCATGCTTTAGGTGTGATTTCGAGCATTCAGATTTGCACATTATTATTACCGATGAGAATATTTAGCAGTTGTTTTGTTTTTATTTTGATAACGTGGAGCAGCATTCTAGTCATTTGATGCCGCATGAAATGAGCTTTACACACTGTAATCATGTCGACATGAGTATTAATCAAATTTGAATGTGTGTCATTAGTGTGGCTGGTCCCCTTGGACGTATCACGCTTTCTCCGCCCGTGAAGGTCCAGGTATTGGTCTGCAGCAGCCCATGCTTGTCGTAAGAGGCGACTAACAGGATCGGGTGATCAGACTCGCTGTCTTGGTTGACACATGTCATCGTATCCCAACTGTATAGATCGATGCTCATGCTGTTGATCACTGGATTGTCTGGTCCAGACTCGAGTATTTACAGACCGCCTCTTACAGCTGGAATATTGCTGAGTGCGGTGTTAAACAACACATGAATAAAGAACCAAACATTACGCTTGCTCCGCCCTGGTATAGTCGGTAGAGTGTCTGCCAGGGCAGTGGGGGACCGACTCTTCGATCCATAGCCGTGACATACTCAAATACGTCAAGATATGGTACTTTTAACCCCGTCCGACATTGTGGGGATAAAATGGATTCGCCGCCCATATCATGTGCCTTAACAGTTTCTCCATGTTAACCTCGTGCATGGTATCTTGTCGAGTACGTCCAGAACCATCCTCGATAATCTCCAGGGTATACGTTACGATAACTCTCCACTATACCCTGAATGCATCTACGGCTCGGCCCGATGATTTTATTACTTCCCTTGGTTGGTTATTTATCCAATCAGGTGTCTGCGCTGGGAAGTTGAGCGAACCAATCACAACTCACTTTCGCTTTTTAAATTATCTAACCGATTAAACTTGTCACCATAATAATATATTGTTGCAGATACTCTGAAAGAAGGAGTTCTTGAATATATTTTTTAAGGTTTCAGACCTGTCAATTTGTCTGTATGTTTTCCCCGAAATCTGAGTCGCACTGCGAACAAACTTTGGCGGCTGCGACCGCTATTTTTGTTGACACTGGCAAGCTCGGTTGTAACGGCGGCTTATCTGATTGGCTACTGTGAGAATGCGGAGCAGCAAAGGGAGGTAATAAAATCATCGGGCCGTAGATGCATCCAGGGTATAGTGGAGAATTATCGTATCGGAGATTATCGAGGATGGTCCAGAACAAGCAGCATGGTACGTCAAAAGGACTTAACTTGTCACGAGGAAATTATACATCAAGATGACATGCAATGTAACAAGGACATAATACTTCACAAGAACATGTTGCGTCATCATGACGTCATGACACGTCACGAGGACATATACATCAAGGTGACGTCAAGAGGACGCAATACGTCATATCGCCATGGTACGCCTCGTAACACAGCACGTCAAGTCGTCAGGATACGCCTCCAGAACGCCATACGTAAGGATACGTAAGATACGTCACAGGGCTAATTTTATACGCATAATTTCACAAGAGTTCATTTGGCACAGGCAGTATTCAGAACTCAGTCAAAGAAGCTAACTTTGTTATTTTCTGTATGTATCCATGTGTTTATTACTATACAGTACGACCAACCAGATATTCAGCCACGAAGATGCAGAACACACTGATAATATTCATTTAATGAGCATCTTGATAACAGCAATTATCAGTCAGGTAAGTGATAACTATCTCAACATATGCCACGTCATATACACGTAAGGCCAATATAACACCGGCCTACTTCTCCTCTTTCAGAAGAAGATGAACCATTATAGTTTCCGTTACAGCGTGTCCAGCGAGAATATTTTGTTTGTTTGTAATTGTTGTTTTTGTTCAATAATCTTTGCAGCAACAGTATTTCTGTCATTCTTTGGTCATGGCTAATAGAAGCTGGTATTTTCATTCCATACCGGTTCCCAGGAAGGCCCGTTAGGGTCACCGTCTTCGAAGTCGTACTCCACCACTCCAGACAACAGCTTCGCCTCCTTTGTCGTTGCAACCTCCGGAAGACAGTCTCCTATCGGAGACTTGATTTCGCGATGATTAAAAGAATCACACTTGCCAAAGATGTTGATTCCTCTGGATGGCCAATGCCCAGTCATGAGCCGATGATTGTAAACCTTCTTCTTGTCAGAGATATCTTCAGCCCGAGCCCACTTGGCAGGCGTCATGCAGACGAACACCACAAAGCGCCACCTGTGGGAATTGAGGCGACCTTTCTCTGGTCTACAATTATCATGCACTGTCCGAGAATCCCAAAGGACCATCCCTCCTTTCGGAACTGGAACCTTAGTGGTAACGCAGCCTTTCTCTCTGAACCAAGATTTGTCGTCTTCATTTAATTCATAATGACCGATTCTACTCTTCCTAGCAGCGGACTCAAATTCTTCAAAAAATTCGTTGAAATATTTATGTGATCCCGACAAAACCCGGAAGCAGAAGTCAGTTTCTGTCGCCTCCTCCAAATACAGGGCGCCTTGGTAACCATGGAGACCAACTCTCTCTGCCGGTTGGTCGACGTGCAACCATGCTTTCCCTGTGTCATAAATTACGAACTTTTCATCTTCTGGCGGGAAAGATATGGCTACTCCGTCAAAGCTTGTGAGGAGCTTCTCTGTCTCCCAGACATTAGCAAACACTGGCTTGGTTTTTAATCGGCAGTTCCAGGTGTTTTCGAAATGACCAATGTCATATCCCTGAATGACTGAATGCAAGTTAGAAGGCCAATCATCTTCCTCAAACTGGGATACCCAATCACGGTACTGGGATATGTACGCGTCACAGTCCTGCGCACTGCAAACATCCGGTATTACGGCATATCCTTTCTCCTCAAGATCTTTCATAACTGAGTCCCTGATAAAGAAGGCAAAATATAATACTTTCAACACGGCAATGCAAGAGTCATCAACGAGGTAATCATGAGGTATCTGCACATGACGAATTTCTCTCTCTTGTGTCAGTGGATCAGCCTTTGTCTAGTTCGGCTTGCCGTGACTGGATGCAAAATTGCTGATGAACAATGTTCACTCACATACTCCGATGTCCAATTGGTCATTGTTATATCGGACCGCCTCCGTGGTGTAGTCGTAAATAAATTTAAGCACGTAAAGACAGGCGTGCTGGAAGATTTACTCACCTGTCAAAAGACGGACTTCCAGGTACCTCACTTTTCGCCATGATGGATGTGTCGTCTGCTCGCACGAGAACGCAAAGTGTCGTCTGCTCGTTGAGTTGATCGGCTCTATAAAGAGACGAAACGTCTAGACTGTTCTCTAGATGATTATTGCACAACCCAAGAACATCGCGGGGAAAGCAGGTGATAAAGATAAGCCATTAGTTGATCCCATTTGTTGTGTATGAGCGATTGTTCCCAAGGTTCATGTCCAATAATTACTATGTTCATGACCCGGTACTTGAAGTCCCCAACTATTGGACAACAAACACTCACTACAGTCCACCTTAAGGATCAAATGTGAAGCTAAACAGCCATCATTTGTTGCACAGATTGTTAAGAAGCATTAACCTCATTTGTGATGCGTTATGTGGAATAAAATATAAGGGATGCCTAATTTCACCTGGACCCCATTCCACGAAGTAATATAATAGCTTTGACGATTGCACCTGTCAAAAGTCTGTTTGGTGGAGAAGATAAAAATTATCGGTCAAATCAGTGAGACGGCAACCCGACCGCGTCAGTCGCCCCTTATCAGTTAGAACTCAGGGTTAGAATAGATCTTCAGCAGCCCATGCTTGAAGAGACAGGCGACAAGTGTGAGTGAGTGAGTTTAGTTTTACGCTGCAATATCCCTGCTATATGGTGGCGATCTGTAAATAATCGAGTCTGGACCAGTCAATCCAGTGATCAACATCACGAACATCGATCTACGCAATTGAGATACGATGACATGTGTCATCCAGTTTTCAACCAAGTCAGCGAGCCTGACCACCAGATCCCATTAGACGCCTCTTACGACAAGCATGGGTTACCGAAGATCAATTCTAACCCGGATCTTCACGGGTAGACAGGCGCCAAATGAGATCGGGTGGTCAGGCTCGCTGTCTTAGTTGGCACAAGTCATCGTAATCCAGGTTGCTTATCGTTGCGCATGCTGCCCATCTCTTATATTGATCTGCTGTTGATCCTTACCATAGGTACTGGTTCCTGAAGACCATGTTTTGTCCTTTCATCAGCTTTCCTGCATTAGCTCAACCATGAATCCCCACTTACATTATTACACACCAAAGTTACGTCGTGTTTGCATATTTCCTTTCTGAATGGATCAGATCGTATGGGTAAGTTAAGGCGTTGATCGTATAAATATCTCACCCTCGTGTCTTTTGATATCAAATATATCACCACAAGTTCATCAAAGTGAAAAGATTGCCGAATGGTGATATATTTGATATCAAAAGACACGAGGGTGCGATTTTATTTATCATCCTTTCATTGTTAAATCAAACAAAACCAAATCTTACAAAATTACAAAACGAGAGTTTTTGTGGCGTAGAAATGCATCACTCTAAGTTAGTGAACAGAAAACAAACCAAGGTCATTCTTTTCAGCACACTTTCATCACAAAAATAGTTTCAGTTACAATTTATTAAATATCCCAGGAAACATTTATTATGTGTGATAATTAAATAGAATTCAAAGAGAAAGTGGATAATAAACACCACGGTATATTGGGATTTCTAATTTTACGACAACAGAACAAATTACAGCAGGAACGTGTACTGCAAAAGTGAAAGTCATTTCAAAGTTTGTCACAGAAGCTAGAGGTGTCAATCATTCAGAATCTTGAAAAACACAATTATCAGTCAGGCACGTGATAATTACCTCAATGAAATATGTGCAAAGCAAGGTGAGCTTATTTAAATACGACTGGAGTACAAACATGAGGAACGAGTGAACATAGCAAACAATAATGAGGCCTGTATTACACGTCATATACACATAAGGTCTATATTACACGTCATACACACATAAGGTCTATATTACACGTCATATACACATAAGGTCTATATTACACGTCATTCACACATAAGGTCTATATTACACGTCATTCACACATAATGTCTATATACACATACACATAAGGTCTATATTACACGTCATTCACACGTCATTACACACATAAGGTCTATATTACATGTCATATACACATAAGGTCTATAGTACACGTCATATACACTTATGGTCTATATTACACGTCATAGACACATAAGGTCTATATTACACGTCATTCACACATAAGGTCTATATTACACGTCATTCACACATAAGGTCTATATTACACGTCATTCACACATAAGGTCTATATTACACGTCATACACACATAAGGTCTATATTACACGTCATACACACATAAGGTCTATATTACACGTCATATATTACACGTCATATACACATAAGGTCTATTACAACGTCACACACATAAGGTCTATATTACACGTCATATACACATAAGGTCTATATTACACGTCATAGACACATAAGGTCTATATTACACGTCATATACACATAAGGTCTATATTACACGTCATTCACACATAAGGTCTATATTACACGTCATATACACATAAGGTCTATAGTAACGTCATATACACTTATGGTCTATATTACACGTCATACACACATAAGGTATAAAGTTAACGTCATATACACATAAGGTATATACACGTCATATACACTTATGGTCTATATTACACGTCATACACACATAAGGTCTATATTACACGTCATATACACATAAGGTCCATATTAACGTCATACGTCATATACACTTATGGTCTATATTACACGTCATACACACATAAGGTCTAAAGTAAACGTCATAAACACTTATGGTCTATATTACACGTCATATACACATAACGTCTATATTACAAGTCATATACACATAAGGTCTATATTACACGTCATATACACATATGGTCTATATTACACGTCATATACACATAAGGTCTATATTACACGTCATACACACATATGGTCTATATTACACGTCATATACACACATAAGGTCTATATTACACGTCATATACACATAAGGTCTACATATACACATAAGGTCTATACGTCATATACACATATGGTCTATATTACACGTCATACACACATAAGGTCTATATTACACGTCATATACACATATGGTCTATATTACACGTCATATACACATAAGGTCTATATTACACGTCATATATACATAAGGTCTATATTACACGTCATATACACATAAGGTCTATATTACACGTCATCATAAGGTCTATATTACACGTCATATACACATAAGGTCTATATTACACGTCATATACACGTCATATACACATAAGGTCTATATTACACGTCATATACACATAAGGTCTATATTACACGTCATATACACATATGGTCTATATTTCATATAGGTCTATATTACACGTCATATACACATAAGGTTATGGTCTATATTACACGTCATATACACATAAGGCCCATATTACACGTCATATACACATAAGGTCTATATTACACGTCATATACACATAAGGTCTATATTACACGTCATACACACATAAGGTCTATATTACACGTCATATACACATAAGGTCTATATTACACGTCATACATACACATAAGGTCTATATTACACGTCATATACACATAAGGTCTATATTACACGTCATATACACATAAGGTCTATATTACACGTCATATACACATAAGGTCTATATTACACGTCATATACACATAAGGTCTATATTACACGTCATATACACATAAGGTCTATATTACACGTCATATATTACGTCATATACACATAAGGTCTATATTACACGTCATATACACATAAGGTCTATATTACACGTCATTCACACATAAGGTCTATATTACACGTCATATCACACATAAGGTCTATATTACACGTCATATACACATAAGGTCTATATTACACGTCATATACACATAAGGTCTATATTACACGTCATATACACATAAGGTCTATATTACACGTCATATACACATAAGGTCTATATTACACGTCATATACACATAAGGTCTATATTACACGTCATATACACATAAGGTCTCGAGGTGGACTTGGAATACCCCAAGGCATTACACACATCACACAACAGCTACCCCCTGGCCCCCGAACGTATGAGGATTAACCCAGACTGGATGTCTGAGTACCAACATAACTTGCTAGGTGGGCGGGTGGCAGACGTTGAAAAACTCGTGCCCAACTTAATGGATAAGACCAAGTACATCGTTCACTATCGCAACCTACAGCTGTACCTGTCGTTGGGTATGAGGCTGACCAAAATACACAGGGTGCTCGTGTTCGACCAGAGCCCCTGGATGGAGCCCTACATCAGAATGAACACGGACCTGAGAAAGCTGGCCACCAGTGACTTTGAGAATAACCTCTACAAGCTCATGAACAACTCGGTGTTCGGTAAGACTATGGAGAACCTGAGGAAACGCGTGACCGTTAAGCTGGTTCGGTCGAGAGAGGACGACAAGCTCAGGAGGCTGATAGCCAGCCCGGCATTCAACCGGAGCAAGATATTCACCGACGACCTGGTTGTCCTACACATGAAGAAAAGCCACATCAAATTCAACCGGCCTGTTTACGTGGGGATGAGCATCCTCGATTTATCCAAACACCTGATGTACGACTTTTACTACAACGAGCTCAAGAAACAGTACGGCGACAGGTGCGAAGTGCTGTACACTGACACGGATTCCCTGCTGATGGAGATTCGAACCGAGGACGTGTACGAGGACATGAAGAAACGCCTCGATTTGTACGACACCAGCGACTACCCCAAGGACCATGCCATACACAGCACGGTAAATAAAAAGGTCCTAGGTAAGATGAAGGACGAGTGTGCTGGCACGCCCATAGCCGAGTACATAGGCTTGAGGCCCAAGATGTACTCCATCCTGAAGGCCGACAATGGTGAGATCCAAAAGGCGAAGGGTGTTAAGAAGTACGTGGTTAAACAACACATCAAACACGCCAGATTCAAGGAAGCCCTGTTCAAGACCCGTACCTTCAGGCATAAAATGAACACGCTTAGAAGTGATGGGCATAGGATATACGGACTGACGATAAACAAGACGTCCCTGTCGCCGATGGACACTAAGCGTTTGATAGCTATTGATGGGATAAACACGTACGCGTACGGGCATGAGAAAATTGAACCAAGAACATAGGTCGGGATGTCACGGAACCAGAGAAAGTTTGAGGCTATTTACTACAGCCCGCGTGGGTACTTGAAAGGAGCTAGCGCCGTACATAAGCTGGCTAAAATGGCGCGAGTACCCCCAAACGAGGCCAAAGCGTGGCTTGAAAAACAAGCCCTGTGGCAGATCTATTTACCGGCACCACGCTACGTGCCTAGAAGGAAGTTCGGTATTAACATACCCAATAGCGTTCACCAGGCCGACCTCCTGTTCCTACCCCACGATAAGAGGTACAAGTATACCTTAACCGTCGTGGACGTGGCCAGTCGCTACAAGGAAGCCGAACCCTTAACCGCGAAAGACTTGGCCCAGGTAGCCCGCGGATTCGAACGCATATACAAACGCAGCCCGCTGACGTGGCCCACAGAGCTGCAAGTCGACCCCGGGCGGGAGTTCATGGGTGCTGTGTCACACCTGCTAGACAAACACGATACCAAGGTCAGGCATGACACGGCCGGAGCCCATCGCAGCCAAGCCATAGTTGAGAGATTCAATAGGACTTTGGCTGAGCGCTTATTCGGGCATCAGTATGCGAGAGAGATGGCCAACCCGGGAAAACGATTGACTGAATGGGTAGCGCGTCTACCTCAGATGGTGTCAGCCATCAACCATGAAACCACTCGGCTCACTGGTAAGAAACCAGCCGACGCTATCAAACTAAAATCAATAGTGGCTGAGTCGGCTGCACCATTGCGTGGGAAGGAGAAACAGATACCAGATAGGACCCTCGTGAAGTACCTCTACCAGTCGGGGGAACACGAGGGTGATAGTCGTAAGCGAGCCACCGATCCGATATGGTCAGTCAAAACTTACAATATAGATAAAGTGGACATCAAAGCCGACGAGCCGAACTTGTACTACTTGAGAGATGGGCCAGGGAGAGGTTTCGTTAGAGAGGAATTATTGATCATACCGTACGACACAATGTTACCCCCCAAGCAAAATATTTAACACTTACTGTTGAGTAATCCCAATAGTATCCTGTATCACATTAAACTGTTTTATCGATGGTCAACAGGACATAAGAGCTATCACGTGATCAGGAAGTGGAACAATAGTGTCACGTGTGGCCGGGAAGTTAACTGGGGGTTAAAAAGTAGTAGACAATGGTGGGCGAGATCTAAGGGCCTGACAAAAGCTTTATTTTTGAAATAAAGCTTTGCAGAGGCTTTTGTTGGACTTGATCTCGGACCGCTATTGTCTCTACTACTTATACATATATACGTCATAGATATATACGTCATATATATATAGTATTACAAAGGCGATGCTATTGAAACCAGTAATACATTTAATTATATATATTTAGGTGTTAATTTTACAAACCATCTTTCATAGTCCATGCATACAATTCATGCCTCATTGCAAGGTAAAAAATATTTTAATAGGCATTATGAAACATAAAACAAGAATCAACAAAAGATGACATAACACAAAACGTTTCCATGGAAACCGAGAAAAATAAAATGACAAAAATCTGTAAATAGCAAAAGGCACCACTTTGGGATCTGCCTCATATATCTGCCAAGTCTTGCTGGAAGATATTAAGAAGTTTTCGAGTTGTGCTCCGGAAACGAAACCCACCCCTCCCTTTTGTGACAAAGTCCACATCGTTTCCATGAAAACCAAGAAAAAGAAAAATGACAAAAATCTGCAAATAGCAAAAGGCACCACCTTAGATTCTGTTTGATATATCTACCAATTTTTGCAGAAAAATATTTAACGGTTTTTGAGTTATCCTACGGAAACGAAGCCCACCCCTCCCTTTAAGACTAAGTCCAAAACGTTTCCATCGTAACCGGGAAAAATAAAAATGACAAAAATCTACAAATAGCAAACGGCACCACTTCAAGATCTGTCCCGCATGTCTGCCAAGATTTGCTGAAAGATATTAAGACGTTTTCGAGTTGTGCTCCGGATACGAAACCCACCACTCTCCTTTGAGACAAAGTCCAAATCGTTTCCATAGAAACCAAGAAATATAAAAATGGAAACAATCTGTAAATAGCAAAAGACACCACTTCAAGATCTGTCTCATACATCTACCAAGTTGTGTTGAAAGATATTGAACGGGTTTTCAGTTGTGCTCCGGAAACGAAGCCCAACGCTCCCTTTTGAGACTAAGTCCAAATCGTATCCATGGAAACCGAGAAAAATACAAATGACAAATATCTGTAAATAACAAAAGCACCACCTTAGGTTCTGTTTGATATAACTACCAATTTTTGCTGAAAATATTTAACGTTTTTTAGTTATGCTCCGGAAACAAAATGATAACGGACGGGGACGGACAGACGGACGAGGCGTCTACTATATCCCCCGCATTACATGGGGAAAATAAGAACACTTGGTGACTTATCATACAACTCTTTTTTCAAGATTTTTTATTCTAAAATATGCCCCATCTTTTTGTTTGGCGCTGAGATCTGGGGAACCAAAGCGTCCGATGCGATAGAAAAATTCATTTGTATGCTTGTAAGAAATATCTTGGGTACAAATTAATACATATAATTCAGCAGTATATGGCGAGTGTGGTAGATTCCCCTTATATATTGAAGCGAATACGAAAGTTGTTAAATATTGGCTGAAATTATTGAGCATGGCTCCAAGCAGATTACAAAAAAGTGTTATAATATGATTATTGTTTATGATAGAAATGGGGGAAGGAATTGGGTAACAGATGTAAAAGAATTACTATTTTCTGTTGGATTCGGTAAGGCATGGTATGAACAGCATATAAAATCTCACTCGTTATTACTGCTATCTGTTAAACAATATGTACATGCAAAACTGGAATGAAAACTTATCTCTTTCTAGCAAATACTTTACTATAAAATGATTAAACAATCTATCCATAAAGAACAGTATCTGCCTGTGTTAAACTAGACTAAGGCTTAGTCTCTGAATATATATAATTTTGATAGTAACAAACAAGCCCATTTATATTGAAAAGGAGCCCTAGGGAGACCAGAGATTCAGAACCTGAGGAAATCTAGACTTGCTATATTTAGGGCTTTAGCACTGCAGAGAGGGCTTGGCAGTGGGGAAAATAATGTGGTTCAGGGACTGTGAGACAGACTAGTGTTAAACGTAAGAAAATTCAGAATAAACCTTGCGCAATTCCGCTGTTCATGTCATGATTTACGAATAGAATCTGGTAGGTTCTTAGGCTTAATAAAAGAACATAAGATATGTAAAATGCGTAATCTGAATGTAACTGAAGACGAGTGCTATTTCCTTTGTATATGTCCAGCCTATTATATGTCGAGAAAAAAGTATATTAAGAGCTACTACTATGTACATTCTGACAATTACAAATTCATATCCCTTTTAACTAATTCTAGTAAGGTACATTTATAAAGATTGTCTATGTATATCTATTACGCTACCACATACAGAAACAATCACATTCTCAGAAAATCCACTAACTGATCAATTGTTCAGTGTATTTGTACTATAGGCCAGAGTGAGTGAGTGAGTTATTGTTTAACGTCACATCGGCAATATTGCAGCCATATCGTGACGAACTATAGGCCAGAGGCCTCCTGAGTACGGAAATAAATATTGATTGATACTGACAACGCCCATACACATAAGGCCTGTATGATATATGTCCATACACATAAGCACTATATAAAGTATTTCTATACACAAAAGGTCTATATAACACAGGCCTATATGGTGCAGTGTACACACCTAAAACCTATATGACAAGGCCCATACACATAAGGCCTATATGGTGCAGTCTACACACATAAAACCTATATGACAAGGCCCATACACATAAGGCCTCCATGACAGTGGCCTATAAATATAAGGCCTGTGTAACACATGCCTACCTGTCACATAAACACAATCTATCACATCAAGCCTATGCACAGCAGGCCTCTTTAACAAAGGCCTATTTCTTCTCTTTAAGCAGAAGATGAACAATGATATTTTCAAAGTCCGTTAGCAGTCTCAAGTAATTGTTGTCATGTTCTTGTTCAATAGCCTTTGCAACAAACTATTTCTGGCCTCCCTTGGTCATGACTAATAGATGCTGGTATTTTCATTCCACGCCGGTTCCCAGGAAGGCCCGTTGGGTTCGCCGTCTTCGAAGTCGTACTCCACCACTCCAGACAACAGCTTCGCCTCCTTTGTCGTTGCAACCTCCGGAAGACAGTCTCCTATCGGAGACTTGATTTCGCGATGATTAAAAGGATCACATTTGTCAAAGATGTTGATTCCTCTGGATGGCCAGTGTGATGTCATCATCCTATGATTGTAAGCCCTGAGTTTGGAGGGAATATCATCGGCCCGAGCCCACTTGGCGGGCGTCATGCAGACGAAAACTACAAAGCGCCACCTGTCGGAATTCGGGCGGCCTTTCTCTGGTCTACAATTATCATGCACTGTCCGAGAATCCCAAAGGACCATCCCTCCTTTCGGAACTGGAACCTTAGTGGTAACGCAGCCTTTCTCTCTGAACCAAGATTTGTCGTCTTCATTTAATCTATAATAATCGATTCTATTACTCTTCCTAGCAGCGGCCTCAAATTCTTCAAAGAATTCGTTGAAATATTTATGTGATCCCGACAAAACCCGGAGGCAGAAGTCAGTTTCTGTCGCCTCCTCCAAATACAGGGCGCCTTGGTAACCATGGAGACCAACTCTCTCTGCCGGTTGGTCGACGTGCAACCATGCTTTCCCTGTGTCATAAATTCCGAACTTTTCATCTTCTGGCGGAAAGGATATGGCTACTGCGTCAAAGCTTGTGAGGAGCTTCTCTGTCTCCCACACTTTAGCAAACACTGGCTTGGCTTTTAATCGACAGTTCCAGGTGTTTTCGAAATGACCAATGTCATATCCCTGAATGACTGAATGCATGTTAGACGGCCAATCATCTTCCTCAAACTGGGACAGCCAATCACGGTACTGGGATATGTACGCGTCACAGTCCTGCGCACTGCAAACATCCGGTATTACGGCATATCCTTTCTCCTCAAGATCTTTCATAACCGAGTCCCTGATAAAGAAGGCAAAGAAATAAGTGTAACGTTCAACACGACAAATACAAAGTCATCAACCGTATATAATGTATCTGAAAATGGTCAGCTTGTGTGCGTTGATCAGTCTCGTCTTGTTCGGCTTGCTGATGAACTATATTCACTCACTCACTCACTTGTCCAATTGGTCATTGTTATATTCCGTCCTATTCAGTTACAAACTTAGGTGAAGTGAGTGTGTTGTAGGCCTCCTTGTAACCACACACCTTGTTATTAACGTCGGGAACATGAGAATATACCTCGTGACCTGTGTTCTTAACGTGACCTTGGTAACTGTGTGTCATTGTACCTTCTATGTCACGTGAACTTGGCCAGAGGGTGTCACTGTACTTTCTACATCACTTTAAAAGGTCAACATTTGATTTTGAATATATTATTGTGAAGAGTGAGTGAGTGAGTTTAGTTTTACGCCTCACTCAGCAATATTCCAGGCATATGGCGGCGGTATCTAAATAATCGAGTCTGGACCAGACAATCCAGTGATCAACAGCATGAGCATCGATCTGCGCAATTGGGAACCGATGACATGTGTCAACCAAGTCAGCGAGCCTGTCCATCCGATCCCGTTAGTCGCCTCTTACGACAAGCATAGTCGCCTTTTGTGGCAAGCATGGGTTGCTGAAGACCTATTCTACCCCGGATCTTCACGGGTCTTATTGTGAAGACTGACTGACTGAGTTTGGTTTTACGCCGCTTTTAGCAATATTCCAGCAATATCACGGTGGGGGCACCAGAAATGGGCTTTACTAATTGTACCCATGTGGGGATTCGAACCCGGGTCTTCGGCGTGACGAGCCCACGCTTTAACCACTAGACTACCCCACCGCCCCTTATTGTGAAGAGAGTGAGGGAATGAGTGAGTATTATTTTATGACGATTTTAGAAGTATTCCAGCTAAAAAGAGGGAAATGGACTTTACATTTATACCAAAGTGGGAAATCGGACCAGGGGCCTTCAGTGACACCATCTGACACTGTAAAGACCCGACCTTGCAACCCCGCCGCCACTCACTTACATCTTACTGTACCGTGTTATCTCCCTTGGACTATAGCCACAGAAATCTTATTTGCGAAATGATACACAAGGACCACCGGTCCACCTTATGATTTTATTAATAACAGGAGTAGTAACCAAGGAAACGTAAAACGAGTACGATCACACACCTATGTGTCTCTCGTGATCTTTTTAAATGATATAGGGATATATTTATAGCAGTTCGGGGCTTTATTTCATTTTCCTTTCCAAAACAACCGGACCGGGACAAGGCTCGAGCATACAGAATTACATACATTTTGTTTCGTATTGTGTTGCCTTGTAACAATTGTTAATGTGCTGTTGATACTGGAGACTTTGACAACTACACATGCATGACCTTGGGAGTTTGTTGCTTTTTAGTGTCTTTTTGTCATTCTATCTATAAGGTACAGACCTCCCAGAACTCCCAACGACAAACCAGTGATTAATAACATGGAGTTCACTTTGGCAGCCAAAATATTTCAGTCGAATTTTAAGACTCCGACCATTTGTTTGCCAGATTAACTAAAAAGTACTCATAAGTTCAAATATGCTTAAGCTAGGATAAGAATCCAGAAAGATTAACGTAATAATATATTTTCAGCGAATGCTTAAAATGAGAAATAATTAGGCATGTTATAAATTGCCAAAGTACAACTTTAACACACTGCCTCTCTCTCTCTCTCTCTCTCTCTCTCTCTCTCTCTCTCTCTCTCTCTCTCTCTCTCTCTCTCTCTCTCTCTCTCTCTCTCTCTCTCTCTCTCTCTCTCTCTCTCTCTCTCTCTCTCTCTCACACACACACACACACACACACATTTGCTACCAGACAGGTTAGCTATCGTAAATAAATTAAGTAGGCCTACGTACAGGCAGGATTTACTAACCTGTCAAAAGACGGACTACCAGGTACCTCACTTTTCGCCATGATGGATGGATGTGTCGTCTGCTCGTTGAGATGATCAGCGTAGAGGCAAAACTTCTAGACTGTTCTCTATGTATCTAGGAAGGGTGTTGCACAAGCCGTGGACATCTCGGGGAAAGACGGTGATAAAGATAACGATAGCCATTAGTTGATCCTATTAGTTGTGTTCGAGCGATTGTTTCCAAGGTTCATGTTCAATAATGACTATGTTCATGACCCGGAACTTGAAGTCCCCACCTCATGGGCAACAAAACACTCACTACAGTCCACCTTAAAGGAGAATACTAGACAACTGCAATAATTTGCTTGGTGAAAGATAAAGTCATCAGAAACATGTACCCCATTTTTTATTTCAAAAATGTGGTATATTATGTTTTTATCGCGAAAACAGTTATCTGAGCTTCGGTCATTATGCATATTCCGCTGGAACTCACGTGACCTTTCCGCTCGTGACGTCATATGTGACAAGCGTCCGCCATATTGCCAAGGAACAAGCGCTACAGTAATACAAATTGCGTTGTTTCTGTCGTTTTTGTAAATGTTACGATGGTGTATTCCGTTGCCTGGGGATGCACGGAATCATCGAACAATGGAAAGAGCCACCATTTCTTCCGTTTTCAAGTAAAGAGACAGATTTAGGCACGATAAATGCTCCGATCACTCCGAATCGGACGCATATGAAAGCGACATGCACACAGGGGGTATGAAAATCCCAAAGCTAGGCTTAAGAGAGAAGAAGTACCCACGAGATTCATTTATACTCCATCATTCCGTTACAACTTACTGTCAGTGGTATTTTTAACATAAATTAGATTATGGATCAAATGTGAAGCTTACCAACTATCATGAGACGCACAGATTGCTAGGAAGCATTTGCCAGATTTGTGGCGCGACCTGTGGACTAGAATATAAGGGGCGCCTGTAGACTGTAATTACACCTGGTCCCCAATCCACGAAGTGATAGAAGAGCTATGACGATTGCACCTGTTAAAAGTCTATTTGTTTATTCTTTAACACCTCATTACGTAATATGCCAGCTGTACATAGAAGTCGGTCTGTAAATAATCAAGTTTGGACCGAACAGTCCAGTGAGTGACAGCATGAACATCGCTATTTCGAGAAGATAACAATTATCAGTGAAATCAACGAAATGGCAACCCGACTCCGTTAGTCGCCCTTGACCAGAACTCGTGTAGATCCGGGTAGAATTGATCTTCAGTCACCCATGCTTGTCGTAAGAGGCGACTAACGGGATCGGGTGGTCAGACTCGCTGACTTGGCTGACACATGTCATTCTATCCCAAATGCGTAGATCGATGCTCATATTATTGATCACTGGATTGTCTGGTCCAGATTCAATTATCTGCAGACCGCCGCCATATAACTGGAATATTGCTGAGTGCGGCGTTAAACAACGAACACACAACAAAACTCCAGACCAAAGGCATTGGTTGCTGAAGACCATGCACTGTCCTTTCTTCAGTTTTCCTGCCTCTTACGAAACTCCCGAATCTCCACTTACAGATTACACACCAAAGTTACCATATGCCCACATTCTAAATGGATGTGACTGTGTCGCTAAGTCAAGAAGCTGATCGCATAAATGTCTTCATTTATTGCTTAATACGCTAAGCGCGGGCATGTTATTCTCAGCTCCTCGCAGCGACAGGATGTTGTCTGTGGTGATCAGGACCAATACGCCACGTTGTGATAACGCTCTATACACTACTCAAAAGAATTTATAGGCCACCACGACAGATATACGATTGTAGTATGAAAGAATCGAATGTTCTGTAACTTCTTATTAGTAGAAGGGGCGTTAGGATAGCCTAGTGGTTAAAGCGTTCGCTCGTCACGCCGAACACTCGGGTTCGATTCCCCACATGGGTACAATGTGTGGAGCGCATTTCGGGTGTTCCCCGCCGTGATATAGCTGGAATGTTGATAAAAGCAGCGTAAAACGTAACTCGCTCACTCGTTATTAGAAGTAAAGCAAAGAAAACAACAAGCCTATGGACTGAAGCAGTTTTCATTGTGACATTATATGTTGTAAACGATGTCTCAGCAACCTTGATAAATCACGCAAACAAAACACAACACAAATAATTAACACTTTTCAATAACAAGATAAAGACTTTGTTTCAAGAGTTGACGTTAGAAACGTTTCGGGCTGGATGAAAAGTTTATATCTCAGGTTTGTTTTGATTTTGTTATAATATAAACCCCCATGACTGTGTCCTGTCTAATACACAGACAGACACTTTATTCGGTAACATACGGCCTTATGGCTTATTTTACAGTTGATATATATATATAATGTATTTATAATGTCACGTGAGCACAAATTAAAGTAATTATCTAGCAATAAATATATGTTTTAACAATGCTGCAACTGTGAAACTGTAGGATCCCTTGAGTTTTTATTAAACTGCAACTTTGACCTGTTTATAAAAGATCTAAAATTACATTATAAATACTGAAACATACCAGAACAAATGTAAGTGAGAAAGTGAAATCTTTATGTGCATAGTGTTTAACACTTATGACAAGTGTATATCTAACTTGTGACTAACAATTGTTTAACCCCAACACCCTGGTATGTCCATCCACGTGACACTGTACAGGGGATGTAAAATCGTGGAATTGTATTGCTAATAAATGATGCAACTGCATGTATAACAAGAGGATTTTGAAAGTTTAATAACTTTAAAATTAACATATTGTTATCATGGACATGTTTAATACGTGGAAAATATTTCTCTCTCAGATCTTCATATTTATCACAAACTAATAATACATGAAATGGTGTCCTCCCATTACGCAGACAGCCAGTTCGCAGACACCTTAAAACAACAACATTTACGGTTCAGTGAACAGATTATCTACTACCTGATACCTATACATTATAATGGAATAGTCCAAATAAAAACACAGGAACAAACTGAAGCTATATTATTTATTTTGAAAGATGGACGAAAAGACAGTAATTTGATTTTTTATTGCTGCAATATAAAAACAGTTTATTTTATAAACATTCCGGTTTAACTTTCTAGTCTAACGGGAATCGGCATCATCATATTGACAACATTAGCTTAACTATTTGAAATTGCGACACTGTTCTATCATATAAATCAAATAAAGACAAATGTGAACCTAAATATTCATAGGGAATAAAGAAGTTACATGTTTGCACACAATATTATATATATATATATATATATATATATATATATATATACATGCATATATATATACACACACACACATACACACACATATATACATACATATATGAGACGAGTGCACTTAATTACGATTTATTTAGAATAAATATTTAAAATATGACGCATCATGTCAATGTGGCCATGGATGTGAGAATGTTTTTTCAATTACTTACTTGAATGTCCATTGTATACTACTCAAAGACATAAACTGTTACAATCTTTAGAAAGTATTGTTAATATTAGAACACTGATTGGTAATTAATGTATCTTACATGGCAATGCAGGTGTCTCATTTACTGCAAATCAGAATGTTTTCAAATATGTACATATCTATATCTCTCCAACAAAACGTTTTCTCAGTTAACGTCTGTTGTACATATGCTATTATTGGGAGGGGACCTTTCTATCAATAAACACAATCAAACCTCTCAGTGACAAACCTGTTTTTATATTCGATAGTATTTGATAGTTGAGAAGAGAAATCATTTATCATTTAATCACAACAAAGTTCTATTTACAATCAAACTTCTCAGTAACGAACCTGTTTCAGGCTCACCCTGCTCTACTCACCAGACAGTGGACTGTTCCATTATACCCGTAGGTGTGACCCTAATTAACCTTCTAGTTCAGTGTCTGTCAATTGGGTGTCTGTCAAATGGGTGTCTGTCAAACCATTTCATCTTCAATAAAGCCCAATGTACATTTTGCAGATTTAATTAGATCAATATCATCTTTCTTATACCTTCTAGAAAAATTCGCTTTAAAATTGTGTAGGGGAAGTCTAAATTTACACATGGCTCTTATCTTATGGTTATTGTCTAATGATGATAAATATTTCTCCGGTTCTATAGCTGACTTAATCGAATTATAATGACATAAAAAAGGATGAAGATGAAATACTTTTGAGCCAGTTTTGATAATACATATCTTGTAATCTTTGTTTTAATGAATATAGAAATAAATCTTCATCGCTAAAGTCTTGCGCAATCCAACCAAAAGAATACCCACAAGTAAAAAGCAAAGATCTAACATTTGAAACCCAATTACAACTGGTCTTACTATTATCATCAAGAGTTTTTAATAAATATAGCATTGATAAGGATATCGTTGTCGTTCCACCTTTAATAATTTACACCAATATTTAACCACTCTTGGCTGAGAATGAAAAAAGCATAACGCCCTGTATCGCCTAAAATGGCCTTACTTGAAGCAAACTTCCCAACCCGTAAAAAGCGTTCAATCCAGTGTTTGCCACTGATGTGGCAATGTCCCCCGACGCTAAAGAATGGAATATCTATATTTACTACTTTTTAATTTTTGGTCACATACAAGATAAGGTACCCAATGTCTTCAAAACTTGTGTTCAGTGTCAAGTGACCTTGAAAATAAGGTCAAGGTCACAAAAATAAACTGGTGTCTGCGTAATCCCCCAATGTAGGCTGTCACCAATTTCAAGACATTGGGTACAACAGTCCATGAGATGTCGCGTAACAAGAGTTTGAAAAGTGTTCATTGTCATGGTGACCTTGAAAATAAGGTCACATACAAGATGCCTGAAATGACTATTGTCTGCATAATCACCCAATGTAGGCTGTCAACATACTTGAAAACATTTGGTGCAATGTTTTATGAGATATCGCTTTTAAATAAGTTTGAAAAGCGGTCAAAGTGTCGTGGTGACCTTGAAGATAAGGTCAAGGTCACCCAAATAAACTGGTGTCTGCGTAATCTCCCACTGTAGGCTGTCACCAAATTTGAAGACATTGGATACAACAGTTCATGAGATATCGCGTTAACAAGAATCGGGACGTACCACGTCAAAACATTGATTACACAACAGTCTCGTTTCCTGTTGACTGGTTCCCGTTCTATTGCGGAACTTAGTACAATAACCAGTCCAGACTTTTGAGACCAATTCATTTACCTGGATACATAATTATTAATCAGTATTATTTGATACATCTAAGTACTTGTATAATGCAACACTACGCTC